AAACGTGTGCAAAAGCATGTCGTCGTCCGAGTCCTCCATGCGGCGAACCCAGTACTTTACAGTGGCGACGAAGGTGGGATCCCACTGAGCCAGGCCTGGCTCGCATCCCAGCACAGCACCAAGCATCGTTCCAGCTGACACGCCCCACATCGCTCTCGAGCAGTACCACACCCCGCACCGCATCAAGGAACCCCGCTCCCCGCTAATTCTACACCGTGGCCTCTGCTCGGGGGAACTTGGAGATCTTCGATCCAGCCCATCCCGAACTCTGGGACTCGTGGACCGACCAACTGACATGCCATCTCGTCTACAACAAGGTCACCGACCCACCCACAAGACGGCAGCAGAGACGTCCAACCTCTACCTCCTCACAGACCGGCCATTCCTACAGGTACTCCGCCTCCCCAAGTTAGAGGATACCCCGAAGATCCAGTTAACTGTTCGGATCGAAGAGTCCCCCTGCACAGTGGAAGTGGACTCGGGGTCAGCAGCGACCACCTCCGCAAAGGCAGTAATCAGATCCCTACGCCGGATCTTCGCCACGCATGGCCTGCCGGACCCAATAATCTCAGACAACAGGGCAGCCTTCACGTCTGTGGAGTTCCAGGAGTTCCTCCAGAGAAACCTGATCAGACACATCCGCTCGGCACCCTTGCACCCCGCGACCAATGGCCAGGCAGAGTGCATGGTGCGTACTGCGAAGGAAGCCCTTAGCCGGATTTCAGAGGGAGACTGGGAGTTCCGCCTAGCCCGTTTCCTCCTGACCCATAGGACAACTCCTAACCCTGTCACCGGCCACAGCCCCGCCGAGTTGTTGATGGGTCGGTGCCCGGCAACGCTGCTAGACCGACTGCACCCCGACCGGGCACCGGACTCAAGGAGGTTGATCAAACAGCGAGAGGCTCCAAGAGGGTTCTTCCCAGGGGACCCGGTATTCCTCCGGAACTACGGGACCGGGACCCCCTGGATCACGGGCCGAGTCACCGGGGTCAAGGAACCAGTCTCCTACGAGGTGTCAACAGACGACAGTCGGCTTCTGCAGTGACACATTGACCAACTACGGAGGTGACACCTCCCAGAACCGGGAGCCCCCCCCCCCAGTTGACAACCAGAGCGGGAACACCAGTTCTGGAACCTGACGTCCCAGCCGACACCCAGACCAGTGAGGAGGCCACGCCGAGCAGAACTCTCCAGGAAGCAATTGAGCCACCAGACCAACAGCCGACACCACAACTGGCCCAACAACCCCTGGGCCCAGCTAGCCAGCCGGAACCGGGGGTTAGGGAACCAGTGTCGGCCTCCAGGCGTTCCCTACGGGTGCGCCGGCCCCCCGCTTACTTACAAGACTACGTTACATAGGAGGAGTCTGAACTATGGGGGGAGGGGTGTTATGTACGTGGACCACCACCAGGGGTCCGCGGCACATGCAGGAGCTTGGCTCCTGGAACAAAGGAAACTTTGGATCCTGGTTTCCCCCAGTCCCAACCAATAGCCACTTTGGCAGGACATTCAAACCCTCCAATGGGAATGGGGGGTGCTGGGTGGATATGTATATAGTTGGCCCTGTCGGGTCGTTAAGAGTTAGTCCTAGTTGAAGTACAATAAATGTGTGCAAAAGCATGTCGTCGTCCAAGTCCTCCATGCGGCGAACCCAGTACTTTACAACCACTTTCCATGTACACCTATAAGAGGATGCCGTTTGTTAAAACTTTGCATTAAGTTGTATTATTTCCTCCAAGATCACATTAATAAGTTACTAATCATCTCAGGGGGGACTGTAGTGGAAAGAGTATGTCTTTTGCTCCTTGGCACAAGGAACATTTAATCATTAACATACCCAGTTACAGTATTTGTTAAAGTTAATTGGGGAACACGGATCTAGATTAATCTATGAGCACATCTATGGGCAACTACCACTCCTACAGATTTTTGGCTCTTTTGACCAAATGCATTATTGCATATAAGAAAATATATGAAGGGTCTATTCTTACATTTGAAAGATATGTAAATTGAGTGATAACAGAATACTTTCTCTTAACTTCTTAGAATAACAAAAACTAAAATTTTCAGAAACCAGATCGGTCGTAATGTGTGGCATATCTGACACACTCTCATTTTTATGCAGGAAGTAAAAATCTTGACAAGTAAAAGCTATGCTTAAGGAATAAATGGGGTTGCACTTACATATAACCTTCATTCATTGAGTGGTCATCTGTGCAGGACCACATGGGCTGCATGATTGCAGATAAGCCATGGAGAAGAGCTTCCAAGCTTTTTAAAGAATGTTCTAGATGTTAGGACTGCTCCCCTTCCCCTCTGTCTACAGAGATCCCTTTTCCTGCCCAAAGGGTCACGTGACAGAGGCTGGGAGAGCACTCTTCCCTCAGTTCCCTTTGCTGTCATGAGAATGCCTTTGCATTGGCCAAGCAGCCCACAGGAGGGAAAGGAGGGAGGGATGTGTGCCTGCACAGAAGACCATTTGATGAACAATGGTTACAGGTAAATGCAATCCCATTTTCATCATCATGGCTTCTGTGCAGTCCCACATGGGAAAGTAGCAAGCTCACTTACCAAAGGAGGTAGAGGTGGGCTGATCAATGAAAAATGTAACACTGTCATACTCTAGAGTCCATTTCCATTAATTAGTGCAAGTCTGGAGTGGGGAGGAGGAGGAGGAGGAGACAGACTGGATTTATACCCTGCCCTTTACTCAGAGTCTGAGAGCAGCTTACAATCTCCTTCCCTTCCTCTCCCCACAACAGACACCCTGTGAGGTAGGTGGGGCTGAGAAAGTTCTGAGAGAACTGCTCTTGAGAGAACAGCTCTCAGAGAACTTTGACTGACCAAAGTCAACCAGCAGCTGCATGTGGAAGAGTGGGGAATCAAACCTAGTTCTCCAGATAAGAGTCTGCCACTCTTAACCACTACATGAAACTGGCTCTGAAGCCACTGAAGAAGCCTGGCCCTCATTGAGTGAGCTTTCAGAGTGATTGGACAAGGCACCTTGGCTTCAGTATAAGCTGTACTAATTGCAGAGACTACCCTCCTAGACAGCAACTGCAGTGATGCAGCCTTACCCTTACTGTGTCCTTTAAAACAGACAAATAAATTTCTATCCCTCCTAAACACCTGTGTTCTTTTCCAATACAAAAGGAGCACCCCTGTCCCATCTAATGTGCATAATGTTTGTTTCGATGGCAACATCGGGGAAGGAAAGAACACTGGGAGGTTGATGTACTGGTTCAGGTGAACATGTAACACTACCTTAGGAAGGAACTCTACACGGGGTCTGAGTACCACCCTACTGCATGAAATCTAATAAAAGGTGAAACACAGTTTAGTGCATGCAATTCCCCCACTCTTCTAGCAGATGTGACTGCCACTAAGAAGGTGGTTTTATAAAAAAATAAATGACAATTCCACTTTAGCCATAGGTTCAAAGGGTTCATACATGAACTTGTTTAAAACTAGGGACAAACTCCATTGAGGGACACGGGGTACAACAGGTGGAAACAAGTTTAAGAAATCTCCTGGATTCAGAGAAGACTGATCACTCCTTGACCAAACCATGATAAGCGGAAATGGCAGCAAGATAAACTTTTATGAATGAGGACACCAGCCCACTGTCTTTTAAAATGAGAAGGTATTCAAATATATTTTCTAAGCCACAAAGCACGGATCAAAAGCACTTGCCTGTCAGCCCAGTGTTAAACTTTTTCATTTAAAAGTGTACAACTTTCTCGTTGTAGGCTTATGTGAGGCTATTATAACCTGCTCCACTCTTCAGGAGAATTTTCCTATTGTTGAATTAACCAGGCCATCAGGCACAATGACCTTATCTCTGGGTGACATATTCACCCTATATGCAGGAAATCGTCCCCTGGGGGGCAGTGTCCTGTACCTCCCTTTGGCTAACTTCCATAAAGTGGGGAACCATACCCTTCTGGTCCAGTAGGATGCGCTTCTGCTTTTATTTTTGATACCACCCTGGGCAACATTCCAAAAGGGGGAAAGCATTAAAAAGATGGCCATGCCATCACAACTGGAAAGCACTCTCAACGCTTGTCCCTGGTAGGGATGTGCATTCAGTTTGTCTGAACCAAATGCACCCCCGAAAATGGCCCATTCGGACCCCTTTCGGGCTGCTGCAGGCCGATTCAGATTCTCTGATCTGAATCGGCGGCAATTCGGCCCCATTATATCCTATGGGCCATTGAAGTCAATGGTGAAAACATAGGGTATATTCTGGGGTCTGAAGGGGAGGGGGTTTGAGGGAGAGGCTCCAAACGTACAGGGTAGCTGCAGGAGCCTCTCCCCAAGATACCAACCAAGTTTGAAGAACATTGGACCAGGGGGTACAATTCTACGGGCCCCCAAACAGGTTGCCCCATCCCCTCCATTGTTCTCTATGGTGGGGGAAAAGGGGAGCACTCCTAACATCTACAACATTCTTAAAGAAACTTGGAAGCTCTTCTTTGTGGCAGGCCCACAATAATGCAGCTCATGGGGGACTGTACAGAAGCAACAACTATGAACAACATGAAAACCGCAACAGTCTAAATATAGTAAATTTCACGAATTTTATATAGCTATGCAGCTATGCAGTTAAAATTACCTATTGTTGTTTTTACTCCTTTTGTAAGCCACCCTGAGCCGGCCTTGGCTGGGAGGGCAGGCTATAAATCTGATAATAAATAGAATGAATAAATAAAAATGTTGGAGTAAAATCTGGAAAGGCTAGATTCCGATACCCACTTTGCTAGGAAACTCACTGGGCCACCTTAGGCCAGTCACATTCTTCCAACCTCAACTACTTCACAGAGGGTTGGATCCCATTCCTTACTAGATTTCTGGATTCAATCTGGAGTTGTTGTTAGAGTAAAATGGAGGCGGTAGAGACTGAAGTATGCCACCACAAGTTCCTTGGAGGAAGGACTGGATAAAAATGTACTAAATAAATAATTTCATTATATGTATTTACTCATGTATAAATGCCTTACCTTGAAGTAGTGCAGCAATTTGGAGTGACTGCTGAGAAGGATGTTCTTTAAGAGTATCTAAAACAGTTCTACTCAAACTGTCCTTAATGTTAGCATCAATTCCTGAAAGAGATATTGTACTCTTGAAATGTTAATACTTAGGTAAGGCATTCTTCTGTATAAATATTACTCATCAAAACTAGCTGTTTAGTATCAAGACAATTACATGTTGAATATTAGTACATGCTGATATTAGGGTCAAAGCCAGAATTTGTGTGCTATCGATCTACAAATGGCTGTCAGGGAACACTAATCGACAAGGGTTGTTCCCCCTAACTCTCCAAGACTCTTTTCAATCTAGTTGGCAAAAAGCAGTTTTAGAAACCATTGGTAAACTTGGCTTATCTCCCCAAGTACTTTTGAACCATGGGTCAGTTGAAAATTGCGGAACTGAGGATTTTAACTTTTTTGCTGGAAGACCGGATAGAGAGGATATCTTTAGCTGTGGCAAAATTTTGCTTTCTGGCCCTTAAAAAGAGGAAGCTTATACCCTAGTTAGTGATCTGATGACAAATTAGCGTTGTATTGGTGTGTTTCAATGATATATTGTATTGTTCCTGTATTCGTTTAAAGGTTTTATATATATTCGTTATATGTATTTACTAGCTACTTATGTATTTATTGTGTATTTTATTATTATTCTTGGAATCGTTCTATTGGCTGGTCGCTTGACCGTATTAATAAACTTGACTTGACTTGACTTGGGTTAGACCAAGCCAAATCACTTATTAACAAAGAGTGATAGATATAGAAAGACAAATGGATATTCATAGAACACCAGGTTTTATCTCTACTCCAAATTCTAGATTTGTTGCTGCTCCTGTTGCATAGCTATATTTTCTTGAATCAAATAATTCCAGAAGGGCTGTTACATTTATTTATTTATTTATTTAGGCTTCTACCCCGCTCGAACCCCCCAAGGGGTCTCCGAGCGGCTTACAGTTACTCTATTATCCCTAACTATTGCCACAACTTAATCGGGGTGGGGACTGCCCTACCGGCACCCTGTAGATGGAGCTATTGTTCTTCTTACTCATGATTCGGCTCCTCGGCCCATTGCTGACACGGCTCTCTCCGGCTCTTCCTCCTTCTCCTCCTATGACCCTCGGCTGCGGTCGGTAGGTCCATTCGGCGTCTGGTTCACATTGGCACGGCTTCGGGTCTGTCCATCATGGCTCCACCCACACCTGCGCCTCACGCTCTCCCTGCGTCTCCTGGCTCCGCCCTCCGCCGACGTCTGGATTGCTGCCGATGTTTCACCGGGTCGCCATCTTTTGCCGCTTGCCGCTGATGCAGTTGTTGTTCTCCGCTTCGCCTCGCCGCCAATGCTCCACCAGCCCCCCTGAAGGGGAAGGGTGCTCCCTGCCATCTAAGGCAGGTACCCAATTTATCTACTCGCGTCTTGATGATATTATTGCTTTCGAACCGCTGGGTGGACGGGAGCTGGGACTAGGGCCAGGTGCTCACTCTGGCCACGGTGGATTCAAACAGCTGTAGCAGCTGTTTGCAGATGTTACCAGCAGGCGGTTTAACCACCGCTCCACATTGGCAAGAAGTTCAACTCTACATTCTGCTGTTTTGGAAGGGAGGTTTAAATCAGTCCCCTATGTGTTTGTTCTTTAAAGGAAATTGATTCAATGGAACATATTTTCTTTAATTGCCCTAGGCACAGAGAAATCCGGTCGAAACTATTGAGCCACTGATCGGAAAGTTCCCTGGCAGATCAAATAAAATTAAACTAGATTATCTTCTGTCTGGTATGAACCATGAAACAACTCGAATAGTGACTAAATATTGCATTTAAAGATCGAAAAAAGCATACGGTAGCTTGAGTGAATTTTTAATGCTGTGAAATGTGATTGTTTGATTTTATGTAAACCTTTGTGTATGCTGGTCATTGACTGTAAAATTAAATTTTGATTTGATTTCTACATGCTGGTAAAAATTTCCCTTTTTAATAATGTACATATAAGCAATCATTATTTAGAATCTTAAATTTCATACAACATACAGGCGCCAAGTACTAGAAATATTCAGGCAATGTTCTTTTGCTTTTTTAATTAATTTGTTTGCTTGCATATATAACACCATCAAAAGAACAAGGAAAAGAAGAGAGGTCCCAAGGAATCTTTTATTTGAAACACAGGGAAAACAACAGAGGAAGAAGAGAAAAAAGGTAAACACAGGTAAGTTCAGCTCAGTTCCACACTAGGGATGGGCATGAACTGGCTCACAAACTAAAGTTCATAATGAATTTTGGCTGCTTCGTGGTTTGCGAACTCAAGTTCATAACAGATCAACCGGCATGAACTTTCCACGAACCTTCAAGGAGTTCATGGTGGTTCATGAATGGATACATTTCCAGACAGACTTCTTCAGCTCAATCTAAATGTTCACCAAACCTCAAAGCAACAGGGGGGCAGAACTTGGAGGCCATGTAGAGGAACATCCAGGGGAGGTTCCCTGCGACTTTGATGTCTCTCGTTTGCACAGGATACATTCTATACACTCTATACATTTTATACACTATACAGCAAGGACATGGTAGACCCACTGCGGGGACAGGAAAGTGAAACTGTAACAGGTAATGAAGAGAGGGCAGAACTGCTCAGTTCCTACTTTTCCTCAGTCTTCTCTTGTGAGGGAAACGGCACTCAACATGGCAAAAACAGAACACATGATGAGGAAAGGAAGTTGCAGCCTACAATCAGCTTAGGGGTAGTACATACCTAGTTTCTTTAAATGAAACTAATTACTCAAGGCCAGATGAACTGCAACCAAGGGTACTAAAAGAACTCATGGATGTAATTTCTGAACCTCTGTCCATTATTTTTGAGAATTCCCGAAGAACAGGTGAGGTGCCAGAAGATTGGAGGCGGGCAAATGTTGTCCCCATCTTCAAGAAGGGGAGAAAGGAAGTATCCAGGTAACTACTGACCCGTCAGCTTGATGTCTATACCTTGGAGAGTTTTAGAACAAATCATCAAACAGACAGTCCTTGAGCATTTAGAAAGGACAGCTGTGATTACTAAGAGCCAGCATGGGTTTCTCAAGAACGAGTCATGTCAGACTAACCTTACCTCTTTTTTTGAGAAAGTTACTACCTTGCTGGATCAGGGGAATGTTGTAGACATAGTCTATGTTGATTCCAGTAAGGCTTTTGATAAGGTTCAACATAATATTCTTGTTGACAAATTGGTAAAATGTGGTTTGGATCCTATGACTGTTAGGTGGATCTGTAACTGCTTGACAGATCACACCCAAAGAGTGCTTGTGAATAGTTCTTCATTCTCTTGGAGAGGAGTGACAAATGGAGTACCTCAAGGATCTGTACTGGGACCTGTTTTGTTCAACATCTTTATCAATGATTTGGATGAAGGAAAAGCAGGTTGCTTAACAGTAACTGGTGATCTTTGAGTGGTCATCTGTGCATTCACACCCATGGGTTCTAGTGCGCACACGCTGGATCGATTGGTGCTGTAGCAAGCTCTTTTAATGGATTTTTGCGCCCAGTCCCCCGGGCATGCGCAGGAACCCCACCGCGCATGCCCAGAGGGGTGGACGCGGACATCCCGCCAGTTCCTTCAAACTGCCGCAAATCAACCCCTATTAAAAATATAGAAGCTGACAGCAGCGGGGAAGGAGGGCGGGTGGTGTGAATGCACAGACTGTGAAGTATCGGGAATAAAATCCCGTCCCTTGGAGGTGTGGTGGTACCTGTTCGATGGCTCCCTTCTGCAGAAGGACGGACACCTCCTCGAGGAGAGGTGGGGAAAGGGGCGTGGAGACGACGACAGGAGTATTGGGGTTCTGGTGGAACTGAATTTTGTAACCTCAGGTCCAGATAGACAGCACCCACTCATCCGAGATGATGAGATGCCAGGTGTCAAGAAAGGGAAACAGACGGGTAGGAGCTGACTCGGTGACAGGGAAGTCAAAAACTCTGCTTGGAGGGTTTTGACTGTTTGGTGCAGGAAGCTTGTTGGCCTGAACCGAATTTTCTGAAAAGCAGGTCTTTGGCCTCCCGAAGATGCTCGTGTGTCTGGAGACTGATGAGTTGGTGTACGCCTCTGCCAGGACCTCAACCAGGTGCGGGAACAGTATTGTTGTTTTGCAGAGGACGAGACTCCTGGAGCTCGAGAAGCTTTTATGCTTTTGTCTAACTCTTGTATAGTAGTATTCGTGGTAGCATTGAAAAGCCCCAGGCCATCAAAAGGGAGATCTTCTACATAAGATCTAGTATCTATCGGGAGATTAGTGTTGCAGAGCCAGGAATGTCTTCTGAGAGCTATTGCAGAGGCCATTGTTCTGGAAGATGCCTCGAGGACATGTTTAGTAGTGTTGAGCTGTTGTTTTGCCAACACCATGCCCTCTTTTTGTATGACTCTGGCTGCTTGAAGTTTGTCATCTGGGAGGTGGCTGAGAAGTTCAGAGAACCTTTCCCAGAGAGTGTATTGATACCGGTTTATACAGGCGAGGTAGTTAGTAGCCTTGACTCCCAATGCTCCTATGGAGTAGAAGCGCCTGCCAAAGGTATCTAATTTCTTTCCTTCCTTGTCAGAAGGTGCGGAATGCGACCTCTTGGATTTGGAGGAAGATGTAATCACCATCGAGTTTGGCAGAGGGTGCGAGAAGAGGAATTCAGCATCTGTCTCTTGGACCCTGTACATGTGGTCCAGTCGTCTTATGGACACAGGAGCAGATGAAGGTTTTAGCCATGGTGACTTCGTTGCCTGCAGGACTGAAGACATGGGCAATGCCAGGGTGGAAGAGGTATCAAGCTGAACTATGTCATAGACTGCATCTGTAGCCTGCGGTTGTTGCTGGACGACAGAGAGGCCTAAAGAGTGGGCCATCCTTTTGACTAGATCAGTGTAAGAGGTAAGGTTGTCGGATGGGGATACGGGTAAGTCCTCAGCGACATCCTTGTTTCGAGATGTATGGTCGGGAGCAGTGTTCCCTCTAAGCTGAGTTAGTGTGAGCTAGCTCACAGTTTTTTAGCCTCCGGCTCACACAATTTTGTCTCAGCTCAGGAAGGAGGGCTCCAGAGCGAACTAATGTATGCAGCAGCCAAATCG